AAAAAAAAAAAAAAAAAAAAAAAAAAAAGAGAGAGAGAGAGAACTGACTCTTCAACTTGGTAAAATGGTGTATCTTTCCTTCAGTGCCAGGAGTTAGCACCTGAGTGGAACACGTTATGAAGTGTCCAAACACAGGAGGTGCAGGACACCCTCAGTCCACAGCAGGATTGTGTGAGGTACAAGCAGGACAGCATGGCTCAGGGGACAGTGAGGAAGGAGAGACTACTGCTGTAGAGGTAGGCAAAAGAAGCACCTTCTCTTTCCTACCTATCCTCATCTAGTGCTGCCAACTTGATGCTTTATGCTGACAAGCTCAGAATTAGGAAGTATATACAATAAAAGAGTGATTTTCGATGTGGGACAGGCAGCAGGCTGCTCTACCTTCTTTTATCACATTGTATTAAAAAATAATGCCCAAAAAACCCCAATAATGCCAATGAACAGTAGTCATTTATAAGCACCTTGACTCAAGCAACTTGCAAGGTTTCACTTCCTCCCACAAGAAGGAATATTTATCTGTTAGCCACAGTTCCCATCAAGCTGTTTCCTTTATATTAACAGTCTATGGGTAGCTGGCTTTCTGTTGGGGGGGGGTACTGGGGATTGAACCCAGGGTGAGCTACATCCCTAGCCCTTTTAAAATTTTTATTTTGGGGGAAGGGTCTTGCTAAGCTGCTCAGGAAAGGTTAGAACTGTGATATTCCTGCCCTACCCTACCCTCCCAGACCACTGGGATTATAAGTGTGCATCACTAGGTCTGACAAGAGTTGCTTTTTTCATCTCAGATCTCACTACAGTGCTCTTAGGAAAAAAGCACTTATTCTCCATATAATTTCTTATTAAAAATTATGTTTTAATTTTCATACTGTTTTATTAGATACAACTACATCCAGTCTAATAACTACTCATTAACATTATAAATTTAAATCCCAGTAAACACATGCAGAGTCCTTGGCACTCTGGGGCTCTGTGCCCTCTTGGGTACTTACCAATCCCTGCAATTGATGGCATCCCCATAGCCAGGTGTATCCACTACTGTAAGGCGCAGCTTAACCCCACGCTCTTCAATCTCAACGGTTGAAGCCTCAATTTGGACAGTTCTTTCAATTTTCTCTAGAAAAGAAGTAAACTTAATAGAGAATGTATCTTAAAATTAAACCACTGTGCAAAGAGGAGAGATTACCTATTATTAATGTTCTCACACAAAAAACTTAAAAGATCACTACCTCTCTTTGGAGGAAAGGTCTCAGAAGAACACAGGGATAGTTAAGAGAGAACACCTAGCTACTTACTGCTCCAGCTGGCAGCAGACCTAAGCATCATCAACATAGTACTGGTTTTAGGCACATGCAGAATGCAAGAGTTGGGTCAGGAAGGCTTCCACCTAGATTTCAGGAGGAGGCCTGGAAGGCAAGGCAGTGTGCCCAAGAGGGCAGTGTTCAAAGCTGTGAGGACCAAGCTGAAGATGCAGTGGAGACCCCAAAAGGTTAGAGAAGCCAGGAATGTGGATCATCTAAGGAAAAATGTAAGGGGGAACAGAAGCAGCCCAAGAGAGAAGAAATAGGAGCTACAACCACCAGCAGTGCCATAAGTGCAGAGCCACCCAAGCCTTTTGGAGTTCACATCTTGCCAGAGAGATTGCTTTGGATACCACATACACAACTACAGGATTTAATGTTTGCCCTGCTGGATTTTGGACTTACTTTATTCCCATTTCCTTTTATCCCCCTCTTTGTACCTTTTGGAATAGAAATGTCTATCTTGTACCACTGTGTATTGGACATGTTTAACTTTCTTTTCGTTTGTACAGGGGCTCGCAGCTAAGAGTTCATTTAAAATTACAAAGACGACTTTGAACTTGTCTTCTCAGTCTGAAACTGTTAGGACTTCAGAAACTCCCTGAGAAGGACTAAATGTCTTTTGCATAAAAAATATACACGAGTCTTTGAGGGCCCAGAGATGGAACGTTATAGATTGTATCTAGTTGTTCCCCTTAAGCCTCATGCAGTTAAAGATAGGGCTTTTCAGAGGTGGCTGGATCTAGGGTATATAATCCAGAATGCAATGGTAGGATTAGGGTATTAGTGCCAGCCACCCTAATGGTAGTGTCCTGGATAAGACATAAGGGGCAGAAAGAGGCTTATTGCTTACTTTGCTACCTTCTGCTGCCATGAACAGTTTCTCTTCTGAGATGCCCCTCTGCTAAGTCACCCTGCCTTAGAGCCAGCCAACTATGAACTGAAGCCTCTCAGATAACCTTTCTTCCTTTAACTTTGGGAGTTGGGTATTTTGTCTCAGCAATGAGAAAAGTAACTAAGATACTTGGTATTAAATTTCTCACAACAAACAATTTAGAAGATTACTACGTCTCTCTGGAGGGTCTCAGAAAGGATTGTATTAAAAGGATACCAGAGTCATCAGGGGAAATTTCAATGCCAAGATTAACATACTGCTAGGGAAGGTTAAACAATAAAAATAAAAATTACAATGTTTCAGGGATAAAGAAAACATGTGAATTTAAAAACTGAATTTTAAAATGATAGCAAAAGAACTGTCTGCCCTTTTGGCAGCCCAAGACATACCCTCCAACTTTGTGTTAAACCCATTGAGTCCTCAAATATTCATAGATGCTGTGTCCTGTATTCAGACAACATCAATTTCCACAGCAATTTTTTAATGTATGTAGCCCAGGCAGGCATGAGCTTGCTATCCTCCTGACTTGGCTTCCCAGCTGAAGCAGCATATTAACAACATAATGCTCTCCACTTGATCCTCCTATACCACTGTACAGTACAGGCAGAAACTCACAGAAAGGAGAAACACATGCAAATGTGTGAAATTCTACAACCAAGACCCCAGGACCTCCAGTGCAACTCCCTTGCCATAGGTGATTTTCCTGTGTTCATGTGTAACGGCTGACTATGTAGCTCACTGGTTCCTCAGTCTGCCTCACAAGTACAATGTCCTGACTTCAATCCCCAGTACAAAAAAAAAAAAAAAAAAAAAAAAAAATCACACCTAGCTAAATAGCATAAAAAAAGTTATGCACTGTTTAGCAACTTACACATAGATTTACATTCACAATAGTTACCTGCAGCTCCAGGTATGATTCTTTCTGGATAAAGGTCAGTCAGGAACAGGCTGTTTATCAGAGTCGATTTTCCTAGACCTGATTCACCTTGAAATAAAAATGAAAAATCATGTCATGGCCTTTCACACGTGTCTTGCTAAATCTGTGATTCCAAGCCTGGTGGTGGGTTTAAGTATCTCACAAACATAGTGATACAGTCACTATGGATTATATAGGTGCAACTATTCTGGTTTCACAGAGGTTCAAAGGACAGTAACTCCTTGATGTCAAAGCGGTAGCCAGAGCACAGCCCTGATTTAAATACAGGTCGGTGGGATTTTAGAACTTGTATGTTGTACAATCAGAAACACTTTCACCTCTGAATTGAACCCAGGACCTCTGTTGAGCTGCATCCCCAGCCCTTATTTTTTGAGTAAGGATCTTGCTAAGTTTCTAAACTACACAACCTGGCTCAAACTTGCATTCCTCCTGCTTCGGCTTCCAAGAGTGCTGGAATTACACCACCATGTCCAGCTTACTCTCTATACTTTTAATGTTTGACATTTACCTTTAAGAAGATGGACAAGCCAACAATTACATTTTATATTGGAAGAAGCATGAACAAATTCCACTCCTTCCTTGTAGGTGATCTAAGGCTTTGCAGGGATGCTCACCTCAATACTATATTGTGCTTGGTGCTAGACCTTCCCCTGCACTTCAGTTTGAATCATCTTCTGCTAAGTCCTGCACAGCATGAAAAAGGAATCCATTGTATGTTTTTTAAAAAAATCACTATTTCGTGAGATAATGAAAAGATGGAAATAAAGTGGTTGTAGATGGGGAGGGGAGGACGGGGTGAAGGGAGGGAAGGGACAAGGGGAAAAAATGAGAACCAAGACTTGTCATGTAAAGGTACAAGATCCCAACAATGAATGTAACTGGTACTGTATCCCTAAAATGTACCAATAAACTCAATTAAAGCTGAAAAAAAATCACTATTTCTAGGCAAATCAAGGAAATAAGTGAACTTGAAATGTGTAGACATACAAAATTAGAACTGTACTTTATATTTTTGTGAATGAAGATGACAAAGAAAGCTAGAATTGAATATGGCCAAGTATGAATGCAAAGACATCAACTAAATGTCTATTATTACATTAAGCTCTCCTTTGAAAAAACTGTTTAGCAATGTTCTTTACATCTTTACTACAGGTAAAGGAGGTTATTTAATTCCTTTCTGTGTGTGTGGCACAGATAGGCATGGGAACGTGACAGAGACCAAAACAGGAAAAACACTAAATCAAATCACCACTACTGATTACAGACACAGCAGTGACAGCTGTAGGCAACCCAGATGAAAAGGGATCAGACACAGGAAATGCCTCAGCAGAATATCTGCAGTGCTTCCTTTATAAACTAACTGTGACATCCCAGGGCTACTTCTGGATTATGAACTTTAACTTTACGGATATACATGCTATTTCATGTGGAAGAGCTTTCAAGTAACATCTACAAGTGATGTGCTTACAGACTTAGAAATTGATGCTACTACAAGGCTGACTCTGGGAGCCTTGGGACTTGCTCTGTCTCTCTCTCTCTCTCTCTCACTAACATCTCCGTCTTGGCTAGGAGCTTCTCAGACAGATGCCACCAATCAGAAGGAGATTTTATATGAGATTTTGACTAGTGTAAACCACCACTATCCAAAACTGTAGCCCAACACATTGGGGTCAAACTGTCCCATTTTTTTTTTTTAAAGTACCAGACTTACTATCCTTTAAAAGAAGAGACAGGAGGATGATTGGGATGGGAGGTATCCAGAATTTATAAAACAGTTTGTGTCTTCTGGAATTAGAAATACAGGCAGAGTTAAGCTTCATTTTATAATACAGTACTACTCTGAAGTCCCACCATGCAAACTTGCACAGAAGTTTTAGATTTTAATCTGAAGTTTAAAGCTTTAAAAATCTAGGCTTTCAGATCTGGGTACATCTTTCTATTAATTTTTCAATTTTTCACCAACACAAGAACGAAACTGCTTTCTTAAACCATGTGCAACAAGGCCCTTTTTCAGGAGGCCCTGGACAGCAGTATTCTAAGCACTCAGTATCCCTGCCCATTCTCATATTCTTGTCATGACAAGCTGGGCACAAAGGGAGGAGGGAGTCAAGGGAGGCTCAGTGGGTCCCCCAGTCCCAACGGCTCATGCTCTGGCTTTCCTGCATTATTTCCTACATATTTCCACATGTGTTTCTGAACACATGCATCATCACAATATGCAATCACTTGAAAGTGGTTTTGTTTGTAGGTCCACCTAGTTCTCAAGTGCTGTGTCTGAAATTCTTCTGTGAATCTGATCCCATTAAAAATTCAGCTTTCGGGCCGGGGATTTAGTTCAGCGGTTCGGTGGCCTGCCTTGCAAGCCCAAGGACCCGAGTTCAATCCCCGGTTAAAAAAAAAAA